CGGCCATCCGGGAGGGGCTCAGAGTAGAGCAGCTGCTGCTCCACATCGAAAGGAGCCAGCTGAGGTGGTTCGGGCAGCTGACAAGGATGCCCCCTGGGCGCCTCCTGGGTGAAGTGTTCTGGGCATGTCCCACCGGAGGAGGCCCCGGAGCAGACCCAGGACACGCTGGAGAGATTATATCTCTCGGCTGGACAGCATTGAATTCATACAGTAAACGTGCTTCCTGTAGGCCGGGGATTTCCAACTCAGTTTACACTTCGATCCTTGCAGGCCTGACAAGTGAAACAACCCTTTCAGTCAGTGTGAAGTGCAGTTTCAACAGTACATCTCAATTGTTCCACATGATAAAGAATTGCTGCTGTATCTAATGAAAGAAATCTATCAGCACGACTACACAGTGGAACCCCGAGTTACGAATACCCCGTTTCACGAAAAATTTAAGTTACGAAGACACTGAACGGCAATATTTCTGCCCGTGTTACGGCAAAATGCCCAAGTAACAAAATGCCATCCGAATCATGTGACAACCCCTTGGCTTCCGTACTTGCACTTCGCTGTTCCACTTGAATGACGTATTGTTGTTCTAGTTAGCAATTAGCCTGTAGCCTATCGTTCAGCATCACCTCACTCAAAACGCGCAATGGGTGCTTTGACTTACGAAAGCTTTCGACTTACGAAAGACCCTCGGGAACGGATTAATTTCCTAAGTCGGGGTTCCACTGTATTGGTTTAAATAGTAAGAAAGAAATGTGTCAGGCTAAAGTTGTGGTAGCTGGTCTGCTAGATTAGATTAGATTAGATAGAACTTTATTAATCCCTCGGGTGGGTTCCTCTGGGAAATTCGATTTCCAAAAAAGCACAGCACCGACAGAAGTTACAGAGTTACAGAATATTATATATATATACACACACACACACACACACACATATATAAATACAGAGACAATATAAATAAAATATACGAAGGGGATAAATAGAATAAATAGGAATAAAAAATAAAAATACAAGTGAATTGCACATTTCACGTATTGAGTCTATTGCTAGTAATCAGACCTGGTTACTGGCCTTGTTTGAACCTGAATCTGACTGAGATGCTGTGGCATCAAAGAGGCAGTTCATTCTCGAAAACCCTCGAATGTGGCTGAATGACATCAACTGTCCAAAGATGAGTGGGTCAGCGCTGCTTGATTGCAGTAGTTGCTGCAAAGGGTGGCCCAACCAGTTACTAGGTTTTAGCAACAATCCCTTTTTCACACAGGGCCATGTAGGGTTGGAGTTTTTCCCTTAATAATAAACACCTTCATTTAGAAACTGCATTTTGTCTTATCTTTGCCTGATATTTAAATTTGTTTAATGATCTGAAAAACACAGCTGTATGCCCTCCTTCACATTTCCAAAGCTGCCTGCTGGGCAGGATCGTACTTTTTCTGTTCTAATTTGAAGCTATATAAATAAAACCACATTGAATAACAGCTGCAGACTCATTCTCAGTCAATGATCTGATTTATCGATAAACCGACGAACCTCTGAAACTGTTCAAAAACAGAAGTGGTTATGTGGCACAGTCAGCCTTCCACTTTCTGTTTGAATGGATTTTATTCTCAGTTTTACTTTTATTTCTTGTTATTAGCTTTCTTTTTCTTTTTTTAACCTATGTTTATCTTTACTGTAGTTTATTTAATTCAAATTATTATTCAAATGGTACGTTCTGGGCTCCTTTTATTTTAAAAATATTTCTATTTAATTTCTTTCTGTAGTTTTTAGCTTATTAAAATGTTTTATTTAACCCATCCAGTTTGTTTGTTTGTTTGTTTGTTTGTTTGTTGTTTTGTCTTCTGTAAAAGTGATGACCTAAATCCAGAAAATGATATCTTCAGTATAGTTTGGAGCATGAGATGAAATTCTTTCGTTCATTTTAATTATCACTAAAGGAAAAGGAAGCTCCACCTTAAAACAGAGCACCTTCCCTGGCTGTGAGGGCTCACCTGCGGTAATTCACAGTGTAGGTAACGTCCGGCTCCCCTGGAGTCCACGTCAGCTGACCCTTCTCCACCTGGACGTTCTGTGGAGGCGGCGGCGCCTGAGACGCGACTGCAAAGGTGAAGAAAGCAAACCAGAGAAATCCCTGCATAATCCAGATTATTGTTATTCATGTGATCACGGCCTCAGATGATTTATTAAAGAGACAGCAGGAACCATCGACGCCACGACGTCTGAGCTCAGAGGGACAAAGATTCAAAAACGAGGAATAACATCTGTCTGCTGCACACGGCACGTTTTTAAAAACTGAACAGATGTGAACCTGATGTTTGTGGTGACGTCATTTATTCACTTTCATGTCTGTTTTCTGATTGGACAGATCAGTTATTTATTGCCTGAGAGTGTCAGAGTCAAACGTGTTTACAGTGAACAGATGAATGAACGTTTATTGCATCAGTAATAATGAAGGTTAAACATGTTTACAGGCTGATTTAAACAAACACAGAAGTGATGATTATAACCTGAAATAAACTCTTTGAAAGCTTCACAGATCCTTTCCTGTCATGTCAGGAGCTTTGGACATTTATAGCCCACTTCCATGTTTCACAGGAACCTTTAACCCTCCAGCAGCTGCGACTGTTTCACCTTAAAAACCTGAAACAGTCGCAGCAAACAGAAAAAGGACATTTTCTCATGTTAGACGCGCTGAACTGACCTATCAGGAATAACCTACTGCTGACTCTGTTATACCATTAAATGAGTCACCGTCAGCTGAAGAAATGAAAGTAAGCTTTAAAGTGTGACTCAGGAGCAAAAATAATCGATTTACATAATTAAAGGACAAAATCACACAGGATGTTGCTTCATCTGTGGTTAGTGTGCCGTTGGCGGCGGCTCCTTACCCCAGGTGAAGGTGTGGAAGCAGAGCAGGATCAGCAGCATGGTGACGGCGAGAATGAGAAGCTGAGCACTGTTTCAGCTGTGTGTGTGTGTGTGTGCGCTCAGGAAGCACAGACAGCTCAGATGTCATGTGACCCGACTGAGGTTTTGGGATGTTTGACCACAGTTTCCACAGGAGGTGGAGCTTGCTAAGCTAGAAATTACAAAAAGAAAGAACTTAAATTAAAAATTTTAAAATATTAAATGACAGAGCTTAAAAAGTACAGATCTAAGTTAAATAAAATAATTAGTTAAAGCATTAAATAAACATTCCTAAGCATTCACAGACATTACTGCAGTTTAACTAATTAGTGTTTGTTATGAGGCTTCAGGGATCGAAAGACTGCATCTGCATGGCAATGAATATATCTAAGCTGCCTTCTGAACAGTCTCACAGATGTAATATTATCTACAGCTACTCTTAGTACCATTGATGTTAAGTTAGACTCTTTTTCTCCAATTGATCTTTCTGATTTAACTTCAATAATTACTTCCTCCAAACCATCAACCTGTCTTTTAGACCCCATTCCTACAAAACTGCTCAAAGAAGTCCTGCCATTAATTAATGCTTCGATCTTAAATATGATCAACCTATCTCTAATGATCAGCCATGTACCACAGGCCTTCAAGCTGGCTGTAGTTAAACCTTTACTCAAAAAGCATCTCTAGACCCAGCAGTCTTAGCTAATTATAGGCCAATCTCCAACCTTCCTTTATATCAAACATCCTTGAAAGAGTAGTTGTCAAACAGCTAACAGATCATCTGCAGAGGTTTATTTGAAGAGTTTCAGTCAGGTTTCAGAGCTCAGCACAGCACAGAAACAGCTTTAGTGAAGGTTACAAATGATCTTCTTATGGCCTCTGACAGTGGACTCATCTCTGTGCTTGTCCTGCTAGACCTCAGTGCAGCGTTCGATACTGTCGACCATAATATCCTATTAGAGCGATTAGAACATGCTGTAGGTATTACAGGTACTGTGCTGCAGTGGTTTGTATCATATCTATCTAATAGACTCCAGTTTGTGCATGTAAATGGAGAGTCCTCTTCACACACTGAGGTTAATTATGGAGTTCCACAGGGTGAACATGATTTATTGATGTACAGAGTCATGTTTGACCCCCTGGAGTCTAGACTCTGCTGGTGGAGATAGAGACGGAGGCTTGAATGGAGCCTGAGTGAGCAGGGAGAGGCCATGATGGGAGGAGGTGGGTTGCACAAAGGAGTCTGTGAGACAGAGTGAACGTTGACTGGCCTGAATAAGGCCGGCAGATAATTGGACTAAAAAAAAAAAAAGCGCAAAGGCCACGAGATGAAGGATGTATTTGGTCATACATGATGAGCACAGCAGGAGACGGAGCTTTCTGGAGCATTTTGATAACAGAGCCGATCCATATCCCAGATCCAGAAGGCTGGGAATGAATCCTGGGAAAGCTCACTAACATTTGTGCTTCCTTCATCGTTGTGATCGCCTCACTCTTCCCAGGGTTAACCCAGGGCATTTGTGCTGTGTGCATCTATTTGAGCAGTGTATGGATCAGCATGTTACAGACCCCAGAGAGAAGCCTCCTTTACCATCAGCACCTTAAATGTTGACGGGACCTTAATTCCCATAGGAGCATCAGGACAATCACACTTAATCTGAGGCATCCCAGCACATCTGAGGGCCTTTTTGCATTTGCTTCTTTCACTGAGCAGCTCATCATGTAAAGCTCCATAACTGCGGTACCATTAGCTGGACAGGGAGGATCACGAAAGACATAAAGAAGAACCAATAATCAAACTGGAACAAGGCGGTGGATCCCGCTGACGTGGTGGAAACCTTCTTCCTTGAGTTAAAGTCAGGATTCTCAGTGCCATGACTCATATTTCATCAAATCTCTGCTTAAAGTTTAACTCTGATACAGACTTTATAAATCAGGTTATTTTTTGCATCAATAAATCATTGGGCTGAAACATTTTCACTGCAAGATGGCACTAAGAGACAAACAGTCTGCCCAGCTCCCTCCATCAGAGGGCGCCATTGATCTGTACACTTCCCTCCGACTGGTAGTTGTTACATGCACTGTGTTCAGAGCCATGGTGGCTTAAGTATTCTTCATAACAGCACCGAGCAGTTACACATCAATCAATCAATCAACTAATCAAAGCTTTATTTGTCACAAGCAGGTTGCCCTGCCGTGAAATGGGACCACCCCCGACCTTACACACATAACACAGACATCACATGGGGTTACAAGTCGGAGATCGGTGTGTGATTCTTACTCTGAATCTGAATAAGTACGCGGGACCACTGTGTGCGGTAAGACCATCTCTTTACTTCCTGTATTACCATCTACCGGCATGCATTGCCAGTGCGTAACACGTAATTACACAATCAAACAGTGAACACATACTGCCCATACAACAAATGTACCAGAGACAATTATGAATACACCACA